CCCAACACAAGTTATAAATTCGGGCACCGCCGGGAATCGAACCCGAGACCCCAGGATTACAAGGCCAACGTTCTAACCGCTAGACCACCGTGTTCGTAATATATAGAACATTATTACATAGAAAACAAACACTTGATTTTTTTGTAACTTATAACGTTGCTTCAGCCGACGCACGCTTCAATTTTCATAAAATACAAGTTTTATAGGTAAATTTCATTGATACAGGCAAAGAAGTAATGAGAAGATGGACAAATGTTCGAGACACCTTTGTGAAATCATGCAAAAAACACAGAGAAACCAAGATATCCGGTGCAGGAACTACAAAAAATTAAGAAATACGTGTACAACGATCAAATTAAATTTTTGGCAAAATTGAATTACGTAAGGCAAACTGAAATTCCCAGAGCAGGAACAGAAGAGTAGGTCACTAATCCTGAAATTTCTACAGAAGCTAATTTTGAAACACCACGAACTGGACTGGGTTCACGCAGGCGCGTAAACCAGATGAATTGGAATTGCAAATGTTAAAAGCACTGGAAGGAAGTAAACCAAACAGACACTTATCATTCTTTAACAGTAATATTCCGTCACTGGAAACTTTTGAAGATGACGACTTTGTACAATTTCAGATTGGAATATTCCAACTTATATCAAATACGAAACAGCGTAAAAGGGATGAGAATGTCCTCTCACCTTCTAGATTTTCCCATGCACAAGAAAGTCAGGAGATGACAATTAACACCGCAGTGCCATCGTCTATGCAGTTCCCAACAACAAGTCTGCTCAGTTTTATGAGCATTATGGGAGACAGATGACTTCATCAACTCCTCGTTCCTACAGACCGTCGGAAAATCTGTCCCCGGCGCTGTCTACAGCTTCTACAATTTCAAGCAATACAACTGGGACTATAGAATCCATTGATTTCACAATATATTGAGTTCGGTTTACTGTTCAATGATGCTTTTGTTAATTCATATTTTGAAAATGACAATAAATATTTAAAACTTAAAATAATTATAGTAATTAAAATTTAAAAAAGAATACCGTAGTATTTTACTTACCTAATTGTCACAGCTAACATTTCCACAGGTTGAATGCACTTTCTAATTTTTGTATTCTGACGCTGAAGGCTACATTTCAATCGGCCAAGCAGTTCGTCAAATGAGGAAATGGACATACGGAAATAGTTAAAAAACTTGTTTTCATCTCTTCGAAATTCTTCAAATAACGTGTAAAATACACCAACTCCAACGCTCCTTTGATTGAATGGATGGACCCAATACATCCTATTACCACGCTTCGATTTCTTTCGACGACGGTGCAAAAACCACATAGCAATAATCCGATTACGATCCATTCTGAAATGAGGAAAAGCAACTGCGGTTGGCTCAACGGTGTCTACGAAACCGTGGTGTGTGAAAGAGGCCATAGACCTGTCCGGCTTGGGTGACCCTACCATGAGCCGAAGCTCTGGCCGGCATAGCCCTAAGGTTCATTTGAGCACGCAAGCCTCCTCCCCCAAAGCGCCTACATGGCGCATAGTAGAACAGCTCTATTTTCAATTTACTTAGGAAAAATAATTTCTTAGGTTTATTTGTTTTTAACCAGTTTGCATTATAGCTTGTTCTTCAAATGTAAAACTTGTTCGGATCTTCAGGAAGAAGAACTCGCACACTTGCCTCTATCTGCGTATTTCCTGTTTTTGATTCATTATTAAGTACGTGTGTTGTGGAACGGGGCATCCTATAAGAACTAACTTTCTGCATTTCACTACAATATTTGAAAAACCGTGCTGAATAAAGTTACAAAGAAATAAGCACAAATACTATAAAGTAGTCGTCTGTGTTGTATTTTTTGGGGGTGTGACGCCATGCCAACTTGTACTTACGTGACAATTCCTTCGCCTTTACAACTTGTATCCACGCGTCGTCAGAACCAACAAGACCACCATCACCATGCGACCCTCCTTCTGCGCAGACACCGCCGCACCCTGCGTTCTAGAAATCTGATCTTATTTTGGCGACGTCTTCTCGTCCGCCATTTCTGATGGATGATCTCCGCGAAAAACACGCAGAAGGCGGTGCAGTACCCCAGAAGCAGCAGATAGAAGGCGCTCTGAAGGTGGATGATCGTGTACACTTCATAGCCATCTCCTACTGGTTCTGTGATGGATCGGGCTTTGATCTTGTTGGTTGTCAACATTTCTTTCCAGAAGTGCGTTACCAACCCTGCCTCATTTGCTACGGTCACCAGACGGTTGAAAGTTCCCAGAAATTCGCTGCCTCTCGGAAGAATAAATACTTGGAAATTTGTCGAGAGTTTTTCCTCCAACATGTAGAGTTTTCCGACGCCATTGTTGTCCGAGGTTTTGTACGTGTTCAGATATTCAGCGGTGATGCTGTTCAAAATGGTTGCGTAATTTCCTTCGTCTGCTACTTTCTGTGCGCATTCTTCGACTTTAACGCAAATGTCCGTGTTAGGCAGCATCACATCTCTTTGCTTTATTTGGAGGAAAAACAAATAGCCGAAGAATATTTTATGCACGCCGTAATGGAATCCCGAAGTAAGCAAGTCTTCCACATTCATGATCTGCTTCTCAAGCCCAGGATCCACCAGGAAGCTGGTCATGAACGCCTGGAACACTGTGCTTACTGCAAGGCTATGTATCACCCACGCGATGAAGATGATCCTGTGTGACAAAAGCGAAAAACTTCTGTTATTCAGTTTGGAGGAGTAAGTTTATGTGGTGAGTGCTTGTGAACTGAGACCTCCGGGTTATTGAGTAGTTGAGCGACTGTTAGCTTCTAAAGACGGACTGTGCTGTAGCGAGTAAGTTTTCGAACGAAAATTGTGAATAAATGATTCTTAGTTTTAAAAAAAATACGGAAAATCTGAAAATGCAATTGGCGAGACATATTGTTTGGCAAAATTTGTGTGTATTCTGAATTATTCTTATTGTGTCTTACGTCACACATCTTAGAGTCTTAATCAGAGATGCAACTACTTCTGCTTATCTTTAAAAGGAATTAAATCAAAAGAACAGTAGATAATTTATGAAATCGGTAATTTTGACGTGGTGTTGTCAGTTGATGGACACGTATGTCAACGACGGTAATTAAAATTTAAAAAAGAATACCGTAGTACAAATTTAAAACTCAGGCTAGGAAACGTTGACGGAGAGACGCGCTTTTGTCATAATTAGAGAGAAATTTATTGGATCTGCATAAATTCAAACTGATATGAAGGTGCATTTGAATTACACATAAGAAAATAATATGTTTGTAATTGTGTCACAAATATTGTTTTTTATGTTCTTACTGCTACAAATTTAGTGAAGGAAATTAACTACTCGCACGTATTACATGTCAGCATCATATTTTAGAATCTCATTTCCGTACGCGTTGAAGTATGAGAAAAATCTCCGTGAACTCTGAACCCACTGATAATTACACTAATTACTAATCAAGAAGCGTTGAATCAACAACCTCAATGGTCCACTGCGTGGTTGCACAGGAACACCAACTCCCAACATGGCCGCCCAAGCACTGGACAGGCATCCGGACAGAGTTGTGTACTCGGACCGTCCTTGTTGATACTTCGCCTTGTATTTGGACAGGCAAAGCATGGCCCCAGCAGCCACGACCATGACGCCCATCAGGAGCAACCACATTGGCAGATGGAACACTCTCGTGATGCTGCCCCATCGCGGACGGGCTTTAGCTCTTGGGACAGCCCAGACGACCTCCAGGACGTCGTAGGGAACAGTGAAGTCCAGGTCTCTCACTATCGAGTAGATGTACGAAGTTGCGCCCATACCGATGTCTGCCCTTCGGCCGATGACGTCACCCGCTACTCCTCCCCAGGTGTTGTTCGCATCGTTCCGGACTCCAATTGGTGGCGGCACGAACTTCACAGATGCGTTTAGACATTTTGCCATGAAGTGAAGAAGGCGTATGTCCAAACCCTCGGTATACCTGACCTCAGTTTCGTCCATTTCTTCCTCCTTATCGCTGCCTAACATCACGAAGGGATCTAATGGGAATGTCGAAACACTTATAGGGCAACCACCCAAGTCAGTTGGCACCTCTGAAGAGAATAAAGCGGCATTTCGCAGTAAATATTCTCTATTCGCCACACATTTGTCGACCAGAACTGCTTGACGCAACTTTCCACAATCACTCGATGGTTTCCGATACGGAAACCACGAATACAAATCGAACGTATGCTGCTCGCTGTCTGACGGTGTCAGTACTACAACGTTCAGGATCTTCCACTGCCGCAGTTCCTCCAGGATCTGCAGCAAATCGCCCGGTGTCTCCAATACCACGAGGAATTGTCCTCGGGCGTTCCATGCGTTGTAACACGACTTCAACCGTTCCAACTGTTCCCTTACTTGACCAGAAGCCCACAAGATGTAACTGTCCTGCTTGTCAAAATCATTGCATTGTCGGGGGGTTCGTACCGCAGAAATAAGGGGCCCGCTTATTATTTTTGGTAACCGTGGGCACATTTCTTGCCCAGGACCAGAAACAACGATCGGTTTACCGACGCTGCCATGAAACTGTTCTAACAACAGGTCGGTGTCCTGCCGATGAGAATATGTCAAATGTTCCTCATTCGGCAGAGAAACAACTGTTGTTCCTTCCTGGGCAAAAAAGTTTTGTGCGACGGTTGTGATGCAGGTCACTACATGACCCTGCTGTCGCATAGTGTTGTGCGCAAGAACACAATTGGCCATAAGAAGCCATAATATGGCTTGCCATGTTTCCTGTGGGAGATGAAATTAAATATGGTTAATTTAAAAACAATTATGTTTTAAGACTATAGTACGTAATTTCAGTTCACTTTCTTAACCTTTTAAAACAGCTGTCGACAACCGGCGGCCCTCGAGTGACCGACAAATAATTCCTTGCGAAGAGGAGTCTGACTAACGTAAGACTATAAACTAACTAAGCTAACCAGTTAACCCAATTTAATGTGCAATGCTGGCAGTATTATTTTCCTTTGATCTACCAGTGTTTCACGGACGGTATCTTTAGTACCTGGTTCCAAGTACTGTCGAAGGGGCCACTGCTTTCCTGACCAGATTACGCTACTCATTGTAGCTCCCCAATTTCCTCACGATGCTGGGTTGGCACCGGTCCCATAAACTGGTCGAAAGCTCATGAGAAAATTTCTTCTCCCCCGAGACTCGAAAAAAGCTCGCATTCGGTATCGCCGGTCCGAAGCATGATGCCTCAGACCGCGCGGCTACGGCACGGGACAAATCTGCACATATACACCACTTATATTTGTCATAATTCACCCTGTTGATTAATTGTTTAATGTAATTTTATGTCTCTTTCATATGAACCGTATGAGCTATAGGAATACTGGGTAATTTATTGCCATTGTGCAATAACACTGCTTTCAAGCTGACTTTTGAGGAATCTATAAAACGCCGCAACTCTTTTGGGTTATGTTCTAAATGCAGGGCATCCATAAGACCGACTACGTCAACAAAAAATACGAGATCATCTTGCATGGAATAAAGAATTGCAAAGGAATCTGACAAACGCGATAACAGGATATTTTAACATTTTCTTCAAGTACATTCCATTGCCTAAGTCGCGATCCTAGCAACTGTGCCTTATACTTAGGCAAGTCTAAATCTCTCACTAGATCATTCAGTTTACTTTGAGTTACTCTGTGAGACGTAGAAGGTAACGTTTCTGGCACAAACTCTTATCTTGAGCTGCCGATGATCTTGGAATGGCGTCATCTGATGGCGGTGATGATGAGAATTCTTCAGGTGTGTAGGAGATAGGAGGGACAGGTACAGGTAGTTCATGATTGTGGGGTATAGGACGAATGGCTGAGGAGATCTTTGGATAGATCAAAGTATGTTTGTTCTCATTGTTTATGCCGATGACAGGAGGAATCATACAGAAGTGGCAGTCGTTTACATGGTTATGCGGTTCCCGCCACACCATGGGCAAAGCGAAGGGCATGGATTGCATTTTTCCTTTTAGCCACTCACGTAGATTCGTAGATCACTTCAGACAGCAAATATGGAGTGCTCATACCCTGCCCATGTCACCCACTTTGCAACCAAAATAAAGGTGGTACGCTTTCTTAACGATGGGGGTTAAGTTTGGATTTTGTGATTTAAAAGTCACTTCTCCACAGATATAATAAAAGTTGTTAGGATTATTAACACACACACACACATATATATATATATATATATATATATATACATGGCCTCAGCCGCGTACCATTTCGACTTATCTCCGCCTTCGAACCACGTGGTATATTCGGCCCGGGAGTTTCTGAAATTGGTCCACTTCTGGCTGCATTAATTTAGCGAAAACATGACAAAATAGCAGGTAAAAAAATTTTCAAGTCATGAAGACTGCACTTCTTCCAAACTTGCAGTGGTTTTTTAATGAAAGTGTTACGTGTCAGAAGCCACCATTCTCTTCAACTACTGCAGTTCTGTAAGTTCTTGCTGACGGGAACTATGCGACCAACTCTGCATTAAGCATTTAGAACTTGTTCCGCCACGGTCTCTTATGTGTTTGCTACTTCTATGGTATATTAAAGTCGCCGTATGTATCTCTAACTGCATAGCGCCTAATGACAGGAATTAGGAAGGAGGTGGTAAGACGCGTTCATGGCCAAACCTAAGAGACTGGTACATTACTATCCGAGCTCGTGTGCATGTGTGTGAGTGATCGAGGTGAACCACGAACAACCTCAACGACCGAGATTTGAACCCGGAACCTCCCAAACACGAAGTAGGAGTGGGAACCACTCGACCGCGACGTTTGGGTGAGAGCAAAGTGAGCAGAATTGAATGTCGCGGGAACTGATTGCTAACCGATTTAAAGACGTGTGCAACGTCTTCGTCGTACAGATGCTAATTGTAGACCTCCATTTTAAGATAATCAGACGATAAGCTCGTTCTGATGAATGGTCTCGAGGGCATCTCACGTGCGTCGTCTCCAGAATCAAAGGTGATGTCAAAGTTTTGGAATTTAAGCGCAGGACAAGATGCTGAGGAGTTGACTAATTTTTTGAAAACTGACAAATTTCTTTTTCCCAAATGCCATCAAAACGCATCACGGCAGAAACGTCGTTCGTAGCGCGCGCGCCCATGAACGAAAATTCGACCTGTCGTGACCAGACGTGCTGGGGCTGCCCGGTCTTGAATTACCCGTGGCGACCAGCCCACAGAATGTAGGGCTCCTGAGATCAAACCGCAACAAGAACCAATGAATCGCGATGTGTTCCTGGTGTATTGTCGTGAATTATGTCGTACGACGTCAGAATGCTCAGGTCAGATGCAGATCTACGCTTTCGCTTTGCTCAGGCAACTGGATTACGTAGCTTTCAAAGGAGAAAGTTATCTGGTTCATGTCTCTCGTGCAGACTGACCGATCCACAAGAACGTCCAGTCAATCAGTCGTCCTTTCTCCTCTCTCGGTTCCCGAATTTCGTCCTCTATTTTTCTTTCCTGCTTCGGTCTTTCGCCATGTTCCAAGCCGTCCGACTTCTTGAAGACCTCGGCGTTGTGTTCATTTCGATAAAGTTTAGGTTAGGTTATTCACTTTTATTAGGATTCGGGACTTTCATGTATTCTTTGCTTGAAATGACTGCATAATGGATATTTGAAGTCTTCCCGTTCACTTGTCTCACCTCTCGAATTACTCAGACGATGATTGACAGACTGCGTTAACTCCGTTCTGTCGGGACTCGGGTGGTTTCAGAGGCCACGAACTCTTCGACCTAACCTAAGAACTAAAGACAAATGAAAAAAGGCACGCACACTCACACATTACAAAGAAATTACAAGCATTTTCGGCACGCCGCTTCTAATCGGTCCCGATGTCAGGAGGTTTAATTAATTCTTAACGCTGTAAATAAATGACACGGCTACTCAAGAAACCCGTTTCTGCTTCCTTGAAAACACATTTCCTTTCTGGCGAATGACGCGTAGATGAGTAATCGCTGGCATTCCGAAAACCAAAGTGCAGAACACCTGTGCAAAGTGTGATGACCACTCTTCCACGCTAACCGACGTTGCAGATGGCATTCGCGGCTCTGATCCACTTTCCGTTTCAGATGCGTTGCGTAATCATGATTACATTCATAATAAAATTTCTTCCGTATTATAGTTCTTTTTGACGTAAATACGTCTATATTTTAGGGTCAGTGTCATTCGGCAAAAAGTGGAACGAAAAAGTGAAACGAAAATGTGTAACAATGGTTTATCAACGAATAAACAACAATGGTTAGCTGGGAAACTTCATCTGTTTACTCGGCATTGTTGTTACCTATAAAACATTTTATTACATTACCTTACCTTACATTACATTACTTTACATTACATTCATCTACCACAGACCCATCTTAAGCGTAACTAATTCAAGTTAAATAAGCAATGTCTTAATCAAACTTATCTCAAATGTAAAGCGGGTATAAAGGAAATATTTAGAATAAAGCCAATATATAAACTTCCTTTCCGTATAGACGTATTTACGTCTAATTCTCCGGAACCGTGGTTCCACTGACAACTTTTTTTTTACTTTTAAGTCGCGTAAAATAAATATTTATACATTCTTAGCACTCAGAATTTTTCCATATTGTTAGCTTCAGTTTTCCATGATTATAAACTTCACCATCGAATTTTAAGTTTCAAAACGCCCGAGCCGTCTCGAAGGGAATCGCTCTGAAACCTCACCGTTGTATCTCGGTTTGTGTTGTGTGATTTCACGGAGACCAAGAATAACGAATTCTTCTCGGTTTACCAGCCGTTTCAGGTGGCTGAGAGACGAAAACACCGACGTTTCGGGAACCGTTTTCGTCCTCGTCCTCAGGGGTACTTAATTGCCCTGAGATCGAGGACGAATGGGGAACCACCGGTTTTACAGAAAGGAGGATACGTCTGTACCAAAGTTTTATGTAATCGATAACAATTTTTCTGGCCGTTCCGTCCAATTTCTTGTCGCGATAAGAAGAGCTCGGAACCGAAAATTGCGCTGCTTGTTTCTGATTTGTTATCCCTAACGCGACGTGATTTTTTTTGTTTAACAGGTGCTGCGACCATGCGGCCTCTCGTGCTACTGCTGTTCGTGATTCCCGCCGTATTACACGCGTACCCCCAGCGACAGTCGGACCGCAGGGTGAGTATCTCTCTTAGTGTGCTTCGTCGCAGCTGGAGTTTCAGGCATTTGCCAGCAATTTCCCTAG